GGCTTCGGCAAGCCAAGGGACGGCTCGAGGCGGCTGCCGCAGGGACAGGGGCCCCCAGGGCAGCGCCCCGGCTCCGCTTGCCCAGAGCGGAGCTTCCTACAGCCTGGGAATGGGGAAGCTCCCAAGCAGGCCGCAGGAAGGGGGCGTTTTCAGACTGACTGCAACGCTCCAAGGGAGCCCACAAGCACCCATGGCCCCGTGTGCTTACAGTGAGCTTGAGGTGCTCGGGCAGCAGGTCCTTCAGCTGGGCGATGCACTCGTTAATGCGGTCGCGCCTCTTCTTCTCGATGAGCCGGTGTGGCAGCTTGTAGGTCTCCTGCAAGGCAGCGGGTGCTCCAGCGCGCTGCAGCCTCGCAGCGGGGGGACAAGGGACATGCCACCCACCGCAGCGCCCCGAAACCACCCGCTCCGCTAAGCATGCTGCACCGCGGCACTCAGGAGAGCTGCTTTATTCTACTTATTTTCTCCAGGAGGCTCATTAAAGTAATGCATGCACTCTAACGCACACATGGCAAAACACACTAGCATGAGCACCCTAACACAAGTATAGTGATGCATGGCGATATACAGCACCCCAAGACGGCACAGCACCCAAGTGCACAGGGATGCAGGCAGTCCAACACACAGCACCCTAGGGCAAGCACAGCAGTGCAAGCACTCCGACACCCAGCACCCTAGTGCACAGTAATGCAAGCACCCCAATGCAACACACAGCACCCCAGAGCAAGCACAGCACTGCGCAGCACCCTGGTGCAACGCACAGCACCCCAAGGGAGGTACAGCAATGCACAGCACCCTGATGCAGGGGCACGCAAGCACTCCAAGGCAGCACCCCGGTGCGGAGCACCCCACGGCCGCGCGCGCAGCCCTCCCGCGGGCTCACCTTGCTGTCGTCGCCGCGCTTGAGCCCCCTCCGCGGCTTGTAGAGCGGGAACATGTGTGCGAAGTCCAGCCTGCACAAGGAAGGAGAGCGGCGCGTTAGGCGGCTGCCAGGCCCAGGTAGAGCAAGGCAGGGCAGGGCAGCGC